GGGAAAATGTTCCAATAAACCAAACTGGCTTTTTTTTTAAAAAAAAAAAAACAAACCAAAAACTATTTCTAAACAGTCTCCATCTTTACGTTACATCAAGAACTTATTTGAAGGTCTGACTACTCATCTCCTAAATTTTTCTGAGGTGAAGTCACTACTACAAAGTCACTGGCTATCCACAGTTGAGCCTCTAACTCAACTATGAAAGTGCTCCAGGACTGGGTGAAGAAATCCAGCTTACGGTACAGGATGATGCAAGTCGGCCTGGAGTCCTGGTCAGTCAGAAAAAAGTCCAGGAGAGGGCTGTGAACAGTGACAGGTTGGCATAGAGAAGAATGGAAAGAGAAGCAGTGACAAGAACCCATTTTCAGGCTTACATCACTGGATCTGATGCTCTGCAAAATCACTCCAGTGTAGCTGCTCCAAAACTCTTCCTCTAACGATCCCACTGCTGGTAACCACTGCTGGCCAGGAGCCCAAGCTGCTACTGAATTACCATCAAGCTTCTGCTCCTGCTTGCAAGCTGCCCCCTAGCTGGGAATTATTATTTTAAAGTTCACCTCTTCATAAGATCTGCACTGGCAAAGTAAAGCGAAGCTTTAAATTACTTGGCCAGAGTAACAAGGAAAAACACGAAAAGAAAGAAGAAAAAAAGGCAACTGAATGCTTGAATCTGATCTTTTAAGTCTTAGTTCAAATTCCCAGCAGTGACAAAGCCAGGCTTAATAAAAACAGAAAGAGATGGATAGAGAAGAAAGAAGCTGTAACAGACAGTGTAGCCATGGACCACTAAGCCAGTTTCACAGGACGAAAGAGAATTCAGATACTAATTGGACAAACTTAACTGAATTTCAAATGAGAGAACGAGGGCACCCAAGAACAAAAACCAGCCACACCTCTGGACACTAACAAAGGCACAGAAATGCATTTCCCGGAATCCTGCCCCTCTCACCAGTGAGGCATGACTTGAACCCATGGAAACCTCTGCAAGATTCATCTTTGATAGGAAGAGTCTGTTCTTAGCACTTCCCTCTCACCACCCGCTGTTTTGTCCTTTGGGCGATGCGCAAGTAGACCTCATAATCAACAAAACAGAGAGGGCACAGTAAGGAAGGGCCTGCTTCTGGCACTGAAGTGACAGCATGGTAGGGAAAGCTCTCACACATTTCCTCAAGAAATCAGCACAGCCAGGTGCCTCTCAAGCAGAGGAGCAGAAGGAATTAAGATGCCCAGTGCAGTTGCAGGGCTGTAATGGCACTGGGATAACAGAGATGCTGTGGGACAGCTCATAAGCCTGGAGTGTTGCTGTGGATGGACACAATCTCTTCAGACAGGACGAGCTGGGACAGACAGGACGAGGAGTTGTCTGTTACATGAAAGAGCAGCAGGAACGCATTGGGAACTGGCCAGTGGCGGATGATGAGCCAGCCCAGAGCTTACAGGTTAGCACTGGTACACCAAAACAGGTGGCTGTTCACTGCAGACCACCTGCCCAAGAAGTCACAAAGAAGCAGCTTCATGCTGGCAGGCCCTGGTCCTCACAGAGGACTAAACCCAGTATATAGTGGAGGGACAAAACAGGAGGTTTTCACTACCCACTTGGCCAGTTCCAGTTTCTCCCCCTTTCCGACCTGTCAGTTTATGCATAGTCAGGCTTTGGGAGGATTTGGCCATCGGTCTGCTGAACACTTTAGGTTCCAAAGCAAATGACAGTACCTCCCATCACCACACCATCACGGCCCTGGGGGATGCTGTAGTCAGCCTGAGTATGAAGCAATTCCTATATTCCATCCATATTGCTGCTCAGCTTCTGGTTTTCCATTCCACTGTCAGCTGTAATGTCCATTTCCCTCTGTGGCCTTATTTGCTTAACAAATTCTTAAGCTGAAATCCAAAGGCAACAATTCATCCCAATGCAACAACTGCTGTGCAAGTCAACCATTCAAAGATTAATTCTCCAACTAAACTGTGCCAATTACCCAAACGGCACACTTTTCATCAGGCAGCCAACATTCTCATTTCATCTCCTCCCACTGCAGTCCGTAATGCTAAAAACAACACAAAACTCTTCCTTCCGAGATTACCCGGTTATATTTACAACATGAACAAGAACACTGCAGCGGAGCATAGGATGAGGGTGGGAGATGCTGGGAATGTGGAAGTCTTGCGCTTAAAACTAGAAGAAAAAAGAAGTCAATCTGTTGGGCACCATTTGCAGAATAAGCCCCCAAGCTCTGGAGTAGCGACAGAGAGCTGCCGCTACACCTCTTGGTTCATAAAACTGCTCTGCTGTACTTGAGGAGAGTGCTGGTTCAAACTTCTACACTACCATGCTCACCAAGAAGCCAGAAGATCGGCTTGCAGGAGACACATAAAGCAAAAGTAGTAATTTGTGGTGAATTCTCCCTGTTTCTGAGGAGTTACCATAATATTATTCAGCGAGTCCTTTAACCATGGGTAAACTAAGTCATTTTCTTCACAATTATTAGATGGAGGAATGGGAGGGGGAGGAAGTCAATAGCATAATTTCTATTACACTTTAAGCAGCAACTTAAAGAAGCTGTTTCAATGTTCAAGACAAATGTTCATGACGATGGTTTCAATGGTTTTTGCTGACAGCAGTGACTCCAGCCTGGTCCAGCTCTGCTCACCAGCAAAGCCCTCAGCAAGAAAGCTGTAGCAACAGCACTGGAGGCACAGTTTTCTCCTCCTTTTCCCCTACACTACCAGCTTTCCCTTCATTTGGGATAAATAATAATTTCTGCAGTTGGGGTCTGTTGGGTGTGCTGGAAGAACAGAACTAGTGCATCACCCTATCGTCACTAAACCACAGAGACAGGGATTTTCCCATTACATGTATTATTCCACCTTTACAAGTTTATATCTGATGCTATTAGAGATGTACATGTGAAAGGAATGATGTACACATGGATTGAAAAAGACCTGGAACAGTATATTCTGCATGGGGATGAACTCTATGCTGTGCTAAACCGACTGGTGAACCACAAGAAGAAACTCTTCCTCGTAATAATTATTACATCGTTATTTCTGCAGTGACACAGAGCTTTCTCCAGGGCTCTGGGCACAAAACCAGGCTGTTGTGTCACACACGTGTTAAATTCAGAACGTCAAAGAGTCTCCAGACCTCCATCAAATGAACAAATGTGTGATAGTCCCCCATCGTACTTTCTTCTCCAAGAACAATTACGTGTTGCCTGACATGGATTCTTCCAGCAAGTTGAAAATATAATGGTGTTCATCACAAACTACATCATTTTTCATTTTTATTTTCCATGATCTTTGCAGACTTAGCATGTTATAAATACACCATTTGTAAAAACTCAACAACTGAAACAATATCTCATTTCAAAAGTGCATGTCAAACATATATTTCTGACTTTTTCACATTTTTATGCAACTGATCAATTACATTGGGTCTAACAAAACCAGTGCTTTTAAGTCTTTGGAGGGAAAAGAAGCAGCAGAATGTATTCTTTCAGACATGAATTTTCCAAAAGAGTTTGTTAAAAACCATGCTGCATTGCTATCTGGTTAATATACAGAGGGATGTACAGATGTGTATATATATTTATAGGCTCGCAGATAGAGCAAAGAACTCTAAGATCACAGTAAGATGAAGGTGATCTAATGACCCAGCCGCCAGAGTTAGCAGAATCTGTAAAGAAGAAAAAGGTGATTTGTTCTCCAGCACCAGAATCAGTTAAGAGCAACACTTCAAAGCATTATTGACCAGACAGTAGGTAGCACATTTCCTTCCCCTGGTGACCAGAACTAATGTTTTACCACATAACCATGTTCTAAACATAAAGGCACAATTAACAGAGTAAGAGAAGTGAACACTGTTCCTTCACAGAAATAAACAGTTTGGGACATTGCAGGACCTTGGGCTACCTCAGACAGATCAGAGAGAAAAAAGGGACAATGTCAGACAAGCAACTGGGGAAACTCATCCTCTGCCTTCCCTCAACAAAGGTGCATCTCATGATCAGACAAGGCAACAAAAACAGTGATCATTCAGCTGAAACAATAGATTTACAGGCTTATGGTTCATGCTTTGGCAATAGAATTCTAACAAGTGATCACCCAATTTAATAAAAGAAAAATACCTTTTCACAGTGTCATCCAAAATCCTCTCATGTCATGCCCAGCTAGGCAGAAAAGAATAAACTTGTTAAATCGGTATTTCCTAAACCAAACTTGTAGCATTAAGGAATCCTACCTGGAACGAATACAACTGACTGTTCCCCCCTCAGACACTGGGTATCCAGAAAATCAGTCTCTGGATTTAATTCATCTAACTTCAAGAGAACTTGGCTAGAATTTACTTGCATCTAATTAAGCAATGTGGATGAAGACTCTAATACTTAGAAAATAAGTAAAAAACCAAAAGTTCTTCAGTTTTAATTTTAGTATGTATTTACAGAAGTGGGAGAAGACTGTAGGCATGCCTTTGAACTACAGATTTCTGTGAGACAGCAAAAAAACAGGGCAAAATTTAAAGTATCTTTCAACACACAGGGATTTCACAAGTCTCCAGAAAACACAATCACATAAGATTCAGAGGTATCCTGGTTAAGAAAGGCAAAACCTCTTTTATACATAAACCTCTATTTACTTTGAACTGGCCTGAGTGATGACATTGCAAAATAAAAAAGGCACAAAGCAAAAACTTAAAGATTCTAAAGGATAAGCCTTACTACCTAATAATTTGTACAGCTATCCCCATGTATCCTCCTCTCAGATGTGCACCACATATGAGAAGATATTCAAGTCTTTTCATTCAGCAAAAACTAAGCACACCTCCACAGGCCTGCAAATCAAAAGAAAATAAACCTTTAGGAGGAGGAAAACTTGCCAGCGTGCAGCTCCCATTCACACTTCTGACTTAAAAGTGGAACTCAGTAAAAATCACTTGTGCAATAACAACATTGTACGTAAACCACAGTAAATTGACACTGCACGATGATTCTGCGAGCTCGGTGCCGCTATCGTATGCTGTCCAAATAATGCACTTCTGGGTACAGAGTGTTAATAAGCAGAGCCAAGAGATTATTGCCATCTCGGAGACAATGTTCTGGATGCTTGATGAACTGAGAAGCCTGGGAGAGCTGCTCTTGATAATCCATATATTGTTTGTTTGACGCCATAGATTCAAGAGCATTCAGTGCCTATAGATACAAGGGGAAAATTCCGTTAGCTCTGAGCACTCTGGCCAATAACAAAGCAGTTCTCGAGCCACTGTATGTACAATTCCACCAGAAGACTCCCTAGATGTTCAGAACAAAACATTTGCAAAATGCAATCACATAAGAGTGTTTCAATTCGACTCACATTTTTCAAGCTGCTCTCTCCTGAGATCAACATAACTGCTCTATCAAGGCTTGCTACAAGTAACCCAAGTGCTGTCAAATAATTCACTTCATGAACTCAAGACATGGTTTCAAGAAAATTACACTGAACTATAAACTGCACCACACTGTTCACTTCAGGTTGCTCTTACAAATATCTCGACTTTCATTGTAAGATTGCAGAGACAATGTCATGTTAGAAACTACATGTAAAAGAGCCGGTGCTACCCGTACCAGCTAGGGCAAATGTTGGAAATAGGTCTGAACAAGTTTCACCCATTTCTTAGAGAAGAGAAACAAGTTGTAGCAAGTAAGCTACTTTGCTTTGGTTTCTAATCAACTCCTCCTTCTCATGCACTTACTGAAACAACACAGTCAGTGCACATGCTAAGTAAAGAAGGGATGTTTATTTGTTACAGGGCTTTTAAGCCCTGATCTCACATAAACAAATGTTATTGTGAATGTAGCCCTGCTTTATCACAGAAAAGCAGCGCCATCACAGCGGCCTTGTTTTTTTCCTGTTTTATATTCCTTGTACCTGCTATGTTCCAAAGCTTGTGAACTCAGAGATTACAGGCATCAACTCACCTGCACCTTTTCAGTGTGTAATGTTAGACACCAATACCTTCATGTTAATACAGAATGCTATATAAACAGTTTTACCTAGGATTACTTTAGTTTAGGGCTCAGACACGCAGTCTTGCTACCACAGTTCAGAAAATTCGTATGACCACCCGGCCTACGCTGCACCTGGCCTTGTCTCTGCCAAATTCCAAGACAGTGTTCTGATGTACAGCAAAATAGCACACAGGTCTGTGATACATCCCCTTCCCTGATAAAACAAATGAGAGCAACGAGCTATTTCTGAAATTCAGAATTTAGAACCAGGCGTAGAGCAGTAGAGGGAAAAAAAAATAAAACAGAGATTGAGGGCATTCAGCACCAAATAA